CATTTCTAAGAAAAAATCAAGAGGCCTTTAGTGACTAACTGAATTTGGGAGAAAAAGTGATGAGTGTCCAAAGCAACAAGCTTCTGCATTGGGTTGTTATTGTCGTAAGGTGCTGCCGAGTTGGTTCTGACTCATGGCGACCCTGTGTACAACAGAATGGGGTTGTACTGGGTCGCTGGGGGCAAATGCTGACAATGACGCAGATTTAGAAGTTGAGAGGACAATATAGAGTTCCCTGAAGCCTTTCTAATAATGCATCAATGAATCAACCATTCTCAAATACTTACTTACTTCGGTGTATAATTTATTAGATTATTTAAGATTTCACATGTATTAGGTTACAGAACTAGGTGCTTTGAGTTAGAGAACGGTATTATCAGCTTTTTGGAGTTTATTACAGCAAAAAATGTTTTGATTTATCTCTAACTCTTTTATTTTGTTCCCGACTTATTGGATTCTTTGGTCATTTAAAAAGAAATACATATTCACTGTAGTAAGTTAAAAAAAATTATAAAGGATGTAGAACAAAATTTTAACTCACAAAAAAAGTCCAGATTTACTGACCTGACAGAGTAGAGAAACCCTGAGAATATGGCCCCCAGACACCCTTTTTGCTCAGTGGTGAAGCCCCTCCCAAAGTTCACTGTTCAGCCCGGGATTGGACAGCCTCATAAAACAAAACAGGACTAATGAGGCACAGCAGTTCAGGGACAAGGACTAGAAGGCAGGAGGGGACAGAAAAGCTGTGATAGGGAACCCAAGGTTGAGAAGGGACAGTATTGACATGTTGTGGGGTTGTTAATCATTGTCATAGGGCAACATGTATACGAACTGTTTAATCAGAAACTATTTGTTCTGTAAACCTTCATCTAAGGTACAAAAAAAAAAAAAAAAGAATTATCTATGTGAGATCAAATTGACAACAGCAACTCAAAAGATTTGATGGGAAGCCTGGGGGCAGTGAGTTGAGGATAATGGTGATGGAATAATTTGGAAAGGGATAGTGAGAATAGCAGCACAACTGGAAGAATGTAATCGATGTCACTGAATTGTACATGTAAAAACTTTTGAAATGGTGTAACTTTGGCTATGTATATTTTTACAAATAAAATAAAATAAAATAAGGTCCTCCAAGGTCGAGAAGGGAGAGTGTTGACATGTCGTGGGGTTGTTAACCAATGTCATAAAAAAAAAGGACATGTCCCTTTGATATCAAGAGTCTGCCACTACAATCTATGTAAGTAATCCATTAAAACCCAAGAGAATAAAAACAAGCAAACAAAAATTATAAAAAGTTGAACATTTCCAAATTACCACTCCATTTTCTACTTTGTATTAACAAAAAGGCAGTATGATGTAGGGGTAAGGTGTGCAGACTCTGAGCCCAGATCTCTTGGATTCAGATCCTGCCTCTGACATTTCCCAAGCTGTATAATCTGGAAAAATTATTCAACTTCTCTTGCCTGAGTTACATCATCTGTAAAGGGCGGGGTGGGGAGATAATAATACTTAACTCAAGGGTTAAATGAGTTAAAACATGTAAAGAATTGGGAATGGTGCCTGGCATATAGCAAGCCCTTGAAAATGTAAGCTATCACTTTATTAATATGTATATAAGAACTATAGCTTCCCTCCTGATCAAATGCAAGCTATTGGAGAATAGGGAAGTATTTGTCCCTATTAATTTTTTTTTTTTAACTCAGAGTTGTTGCTTTTTTCTTTTTTTTAATAGGCACTATATTCCCATGAGCCCTGGCAGCATAGTGGTTCAGAGCACAGGTGCTAACCACAATCCACCAGCCACTCTTTGGAAACCCTATGGGGCAGTTCTACTCTGTCCTATAGGGTCGCTATGAGTTAGAATCAACTCAATGGCAACAGGCTTGTTTTGTTTTTTTACATTCAATGGCACTTAATTCAAAAACTGCCAAAGCTTATACAGTTAGTCTGTCTCTAACCCTATCTCCTAGCTACCCGGTCCTATCCCCAGACAACCAATGTCACAGTGTAACGTTGGGTGTACTTCCAGAGAGGGCCTATGTATTTGCAAATACATCTTTCCTCAGCTCCCATTTTTAAAAACCCACACACAATGGGAGTGCAGTATACACAGTGTTCTACACCTTGCTTTTCCTTTTCCACCTACTATATATTTATGTTTCCATTCATACGGAGTAATGCAATTGTAATGATTTAAATTTGTATACTTCAATGGCTAATTCAGTGCTTTGTACCTAGAAGGAATCCAAAGGATACTCAGTAGTATAGACTTTCAAAGCTGAAAGGGTTATTTCAAGATCAGCCAGCCCATCTCTAATCTTACTGATAAGATAATTACTATACAGAAAGGCAAAGTGACTTGCCTAAGGTTTTACAGCTAATTTCTATGACAAAGGAATAAATGCGTGAGCAAACTGAATGAAGCACCAAAGCATTTCAATAAAAGTGCTGTACATAGTGTTCAAATGTTAAGCCGTTACAAGCTTAAAAATAAATAGGGCCACCTGGAGAGTAGTGATATTTGTACGGCATTTTACAGTTTAAAAAGTTTAAAAAGTGACTTCACATCCATTCGTTCACATAATCCTCTCAAATCTGAGAGGTAGCCCTTGTCCCTATTTTACAAAAATTACAACAACTAGTGCTATTTTTTTAAAGCAGATGTTTAAAATAGCAAAATTTGATCTTTCTTTGGAGCTGTGTATGGCAATCTTTTTCAAACAATTATTTATTTTTGAATATTTTATTGTGTTTTAGGTGAAAGCTTACACAGCAAATTAGTTTCCCATTCAACAATTCATATACAAATTATTCTGTGACGATTATTACAGTCCCCGTAATGTGTCAGCACTCTCACATTTCCACCCCGCCTGCCCCATTTCCACCCACCCAGTTTCCCCACCCCTCTTTGCCTTCTCTTCTTTGCTTTTGTGTAAATTTGACCATTTGGTCTCATACAGTTGAGTTTAAAGGCACACATTCCTCATGGGTGTTATTGTTTATTTTATAGGCCAATCTATTATTTGGCTAAAAGGTGACCTCCAGGAGTGGCTTCAGTTCCAGGTTAAAAGGGCATCCTGGAGCCCTGGTGGTGTAGTGGTTATGAGCTTGGCTGCTAACTAAAATGGTGGGCAGTTCAAATCTACCAGCCGCTCCTTGGAAACCCTAGGGGGCAGTTCTACTCTGTCCTGTAGGGTCAGTAGGTCACTATGAGTCAGAATCGACTCAACGGCAATGGGTTTGGTGTTTTTTGGGTTTTTTTGGTTTAAGGCAAACGTCTCGGGAGTTCCTCTAGTCTCTATCAGTCCAGTAAGTCTGGTCCTTTTCATGAATTTGAGTTTTGTTGCACATTTTTCTCCCATTCTAACTGGGACCTTCTATTGTGTCCCTGGTCAGAACCATCATTAGTGGTAGCCGGGCACCATCTAGTTCTTCTGGTCTCAGGCTAGAAGAGGCTGTGGTTCACGTGTGCCATTAGTCCTATGAACTAATTTCTTCCTTGAGTCTTTGGTTTCCTTCAGTCTTCTTTGCTCCAGACAGGAAGAAACCAATAGTTGTATCTTAGTGTGTAAGGCAATCTTAAAGTGCTTCTGAAAATGGAGAATGATATCGAGACACACGGATAGTAGAAATGGACTCATGCAATCAGTTTACACTGTGCTCACAACAGATCAGAATGAATACTCATTGGATTATAAAGCCCATTGCCAAGAGTCTGTTCCAACTCATAGCAACCCTATAGGACAGAGTAGAACTGCCCCATAGGGTCACCAAGGAGCAGCTGCTGTATTCAAACTGCCGACCTTTTAGTTAGCAGCCGAGTTCTTTACCACTGCGCCAGCAGGGCTCCCAAGCACTGGACTACAGGTGAGAGAAAAAGACTTCAGGGACAGGAGTCAGTCCCAGTTACTTAAAGATAAAGATGGATCCATCACTTAGCAAAATTTTTAGGGCCTACTATCTGGAGTCCCTGGAGAAGGACATCATGCTTGGTAAAGTGGAGGGTCAGGGAAAAGAGGAAGACCCTCAAGGGAATGGATTGATACAGTGGCTGCAACAATGGACTCAAACGTAGTAACGATGGTAAGTATGGCGCAGAACAGGCAGATTTGTTCTGTGCAGATTAGAAGGCACCTAACAACATATTCTAAACAAGGAACCCAAGTGGCCAATGGTTAAGTCCTGGGCTGCGAGGTTGGCAGGTGGAACCACCCACCGGCTCCGCGGGAGAAAGGCCTGGTAATCTGCTCCCATAAAGATCACAGCCTAGAAAACCCTATGGGGCAGTCCTGCCACGTGTTGTTGCTATGAGTCGAAATGGCCTTCATGGCACCTAACAATAAGCTAAGGATTGCGCTAATGTTGGCACGACTCCAGTGATTTGCACAAGTGGATCCATGTACTTTTTTGCAACGTTGGATTGGTAACAGTTTGCATGAGCGCGCACTTGCACGTGTGATATATTCTCAGTTCTGGAAGCGGGCTAGGCACCATCTGATGGCCCTTGCCCTGGTACTGCTTAATTGGAGACGCGCTCCCTCTCCCTGCACTACCAAACTACGGCTGAGCTTCATGTCTCCCAAAGCCACTCGGCGTACAATGAACTGGTACAAGGCCGCATGACCATTCCAAGATCCAAAACGCATCAGGAAAGGAAGTCAGAGGCTCACACTGCGCATGTGTCTCAATGCACGCAGGCGCAGCCTCTCTACTTCCTGGATCAGTTGTCCCGTCCCGCCCCTCCCAGAGGAAAGGAGAGACGCAATTGGGTGTTTGGCTTATCCATCCGACCGCGGCTCTCTTCTCAATCCAATGGGCAGCCGGGGAAAAGGGCAGTCCGCCGTCCTCGGCTTACTGGTTGGAGACTCTGAGCCACTGCGGAAGCCGCTATTGGCGGAGGCCCGGGACGGCGAGGGCTCACTTCCGGCGCGGGCCGCGACGATTCCTCCCCCTCCCCCGCCGTCGCCCTTCCCACCCCCCCGCCCTTCCACCATGGCCGCCTCTGTGTGGTGTGGGGAGACGCTGGTCTTCAGTGCTCTCCTATAGCGTTTATTGCCCCATCCTCACCCCTTAGGGGCCGGATCCAAAGGAACCTCTCTCCCCCACCCTTGGGGCACCAGCCAGGAAGGTTTCCTACCCTCTACTTAAGGGGCAGGACTCATCTTTATCCCCCACCTCTTGAGGAGGAAACTTAGGGTCTTCCCTCCCTCTCTCAGGGTCAGAAGCCAGGAAGGGCTCCCCTTCCACTTCTTCAGGGGCGGAAGCCTCTGCTGCCCCTCCCCTAGGGGCATAGACCCTTAGCCCCCAATATTTAGGAGCAAGAGCTAACGGCTTTCCTTCAGCGTTGCCACTCCAGAGGCAGGACCTAGAGGGCCGTGCCTCTTCTCCCCCTCCAGGGAGCGGCTTTTTGGGGAGGAGGGAGGGGCGGAGTGGACAGGGGCCCTTCACCTTCCCTGCCCCTCTGGTTACCCTTGGCCCCTGCCTCCGGCAGCCCAGAGGTCCTCATTTCTAGGACTTCCTTCCCACCCATCCACTCCCTGACCTTTCCCCGTCTCCTGGCTGCAGCCATGGAGTTACAGAAGGGGAAAGGGGCAGCAGCACCAGCTGCTTCGGGAGCAGCGGGAGGTGGAGGAGGAGCGGGAACAGGAACCCCAGGAGGGGGGAGGCTGCTACTTTCAACCAGTTTGGATGCCAAGGATGAGTTAGAGGAGGTAGGTGTGGGGGGTGGGGAAGGGAGTAAGAAATGGGGTTGAGGAGGGATACTGGAGCGGATACTGGGCGGGGTGGGTGGCGGGGAGGAGGCCTTTAAGTTTTTTCTAAGGCAGCATAAACACTGCTCGAGACTTCCTGCTCCTGAAGGAAGACGTGTGGGCCAACTTCCTGGACAGATTGTCATAGTAACAGCAGCCACCAGTGTTAAAATGGGTTGGGGGTGTTGGCGAGGAAGGGACACACGCAGCATCTAGATTTACCGAGTTTATTTTGGACATCCCTTTCCACATAAGATGCCACAGCTGTTCTTAATGTCAGCCCCTTTTCAGACTTAGGTCATATATTCAGTTGAGAACAGATGTATGTGGGATGGGGTAGGAGATTCTGGGTTGGTGTCTGGGGGCTGATAGGAGTTTGCCCCAGACCTAGGACCCTCCTGTTGGATGGTATCGTTGACTGTGTATAAACACAACCGATTGCCAGTGATGTCAACTGGGCATTTAGAATGAGTGGAGACTTAGAAAAAAGTGAATAGTCTTTAGTTTGGTGGCATCAACCACTGTAGTGTGTTGGGGGTGTGAGTGGGACCCAGGGGACTCCCCTCCAGAACCAGATAGCACACACACAAAGGAGAGCCATAGGTGCAGAGAAAGAGTGGAGTGAGGCAATACAGTGGGCCTGAATGGGGACTTTGGAGGACCTGATAGTTGACCCTTCCCTGTCCCCCACCCCCACTTGTCCCTCTTGCCCCTCTCCCTGGCAACCTTGAGTTGATCATGTATTCCTTTTCACTTCTTCGCGAGGAGACATATTTAGGAATATGAGACCCTGAACCAGGACATGTTTGGCTGAATGCATTCAACTCTTGGTTATCCAGGAATAGGATGAATAAACTAATAGGCCTCTGTGTTCACTGGCCTCTTCCCTACCTCTCACTTTGTCACTGCCCTTTATCAGCTGTTAGAGGGTGGGCAGGCAGCTCAGTGTAATTCATATTTTAGATTTGAAAATTGTCAGGTCAGATACAAGATGGCAGAACATAACGTGCAAACATGAGCTTTGGGGAGAATTGTGAATCGAGAGATGGCTGGGTAACAACTTTGTGGATTATTCACCAGCAGGTGTCTGCTCACGGACTGTCTTCCCATCGTGCTTTCTCCCAGTAACTCTGTGTGCGTTTGGATACGTTTGGTTTTTGCTGGTGTTTTTATCAGCTATGGTGGATACAATGAGGAGCATAAGAATGCTCCTAAAAATCGTGGATTCCCAAAACAAATGAAAATGACTTCGAGATTGCCTGGCACTTTGAGTTGCCCACTTTTTACGAAATGACCATTGTCATCATGAAAGTATTTATGAGTCCTGTCCCATGAGTTGGAATCGACTCAGTGGTAACTGGTATGGTATGGTGTTCTGGCACTGGAATTCTAGAGTTGTAGAAAGTCGGTAGTTGGCTGACCACCTTTGATCAGTTTATATGGAGGGGAGAAGACCTGATGGATGGATGAAAAGCTGTTGATTCCCCACTGCGATTCTTAAAAGGGGTCATCCTGCCATTGCTCTGATTTGTAGCACCAGGGTAGAATTGCTCATCCTGTTCTTTTGCACTGTGATGTGTTAGTAAACAACGTGACGTGGCAGGCGGGGGCTGTAAAAGAGAGGAAACATTTATTTTCTTGCTTTTTGTAACTGTCTGAGAGTGAACTTTCAACTGTTTGCAGGGAGGAGGGGGAGGGAGGGTCTCTTTTTTTTCCCAGATCTTTTTCGTGGTGTAGTTTTTTTCCCAGAATGCCTCAACCTATCTCCTTTCCTTCTTTGCCCTTTGCCTTTGAATTGTCACACCAGTTTTTCCGTATGTGTATGGTTCTGTTTTCCCCACTAGATCATAATGTCTCTAAGGGCCAGAATTACTGGCTCTTCCTCTGGGTATCCCCAGAGGCCTCTGTACACAGAAGTTACCAAAACCTGGTGTTGACTGACCAATTTCTACTTGTTCTTGCTTGGTTATTTCCCATCGCAGGCCTACCATTGCCCACGACACAGAGGTAATCTCCTGACCATATATGCTTAACGTGTGCAGAGTGTGATAGGAAAACAGAACGGGGAGACCCAAGGTCTGCCTTCTAGAGCTTATCTAAAGGCTGAGTTAATGTAATACACTCACACCAAAAAACTAAAAAACCCGTTGCCGGCAAGTCAGTTCCAGCTCACGGCAACCCCTGTGTGTCAGAGTAGGGCTGTGTTCCGTAGGGTTTTCTTTTTTTTGCTCCCTTCTTTTTTTTTTGGAACATTGTGTTCTGGTTTAGGTGAAAGTTTACAGAGCAAATTAGTTTCCCAATCAATAGTTTATACACAGCTTGTTTCGTGACATTGGTTGCAAACCCCTGAATGTGTCAGTACTTTCCACCCTTCCTCCCTGGGTTCCCACTCCATAAGGTTTTCAATGGCTGATTTTTTTGGAAGTAGATCACCAGCCCTTTCTTCTGAGGTGTCCCTAGGTGGACTCAAACCACCAATCTGTGGTTAGCAGTGGTGCACGTTATACACTCACAAGGAAGATTTTAAAATACTGGATGGGGAAGTGGAAGGACTGGGGCCCTCGTAGCTGGGTGTGATTAGGAAAGGCCTTTCTAAGGCCTGGAGCATGGAGCACTGGGGAAGAGCGTCACAGGCAAGGACTGTGACTCTTCTACCCCAGGGAGCCTGTGGTGTATCCTTTCTTCTCCTTGGCCCTCTTCCTCTTTTTGAAGGCAGAATTTGTACTGCCCACCCCCATCCTGATTCCAGGCGGGAGTGAGACAAAAATAGTGCTAGAGAGTGGAGGAGCCTAGAACACGAGCCTTGGCAGCTCCTAGTTGTTCTTCTGCCGATGTTAGGGTGAAGGCAGAGCTGCGGCCCAGAGGAGTCAGAACGGGCTCTTAAGCCATAGACAGGTCTCGGGGTTGCATTTGGTGAGACTTGGAACCAACTTGACAGCAATGGATTTGTTTTTATGTCCCTTATAGGTTTTCCCCAAGGAATAATTCATATCCTATCTGTGAGGAATCTCCAGAGGATGGGCTTTGAGTCATCTCTAATTTTTTCCCCCATAAATAACTTAATTTCACATACAAGCGACTCTTGGGTGTGGAATACTTGAACCCAGCTGTGTTCAATAATTGTTTAGTAATTGGGTCCTATATGGAGTCCTGGTCACAATGTGGTTAAGAGCTTGGCTGCTAACCAAAAGGTTGGCAGTTCAAATCCACCAGCTGCTCCTTGAAAACCCTATGGGGCTGTTATACTCTGTCCTTTAGGGTCGCTATGAGTGGGAATTAACTCAACAACAAATATGGGTCCTTGGCAATTTGGAGGTTGGATCATGTCTTTCTTTTCTGAAGACAGTGGAATTTAGTCCTTCAAGGCCTCTGACTTCCCATAAGGGAGCAATATTTATTCTCTACCAGACTGGATATGCACCATTTGAGGGAGCAGAGACAGATGAGAGGGATCCCTCAAACTTCAGTCTCCAGCGCCAGGTGTATACTGGCCCTGCCCCCCACCCCATCCACTGCTGCTGTCATGGAAACCTGATCAGGTAGTCTTAATACTAGTAGAGTTAGCCCAAGAGCTCCTAGAGATGGTAAATATTTACTCAGCTCTCTGAGGTCCTGTTGTGGAGGGCTTGCCCTGAACAGAGCCGTTCCTGCCAGCAAGTGTTGGCAACCGCGTTCATGATTTGGTCTTTACTCAGGGTCTCTGGAGCCTGGGGGGAAGGGGGTTGCTGCTACTCGATTGTAGGCATCTGGCTTCCCGTGGCCCTCTTTAAGGGGACATAGTTTTCTCTGGCAGCCTGAATGAGTTGCAGTTAGTTCTCCCATCCCTGTTTGGAAAAGTAATTTCCCTAATTCAGGAAGAGCAGCGTCTTCTCTACCGCTGTTGCCTGGACAGAACTGGCCCTCACGTGTCTTTCCACCCTGCTTTTACCCACCCATTCCAAATTCTGGACTCTCCCCCTTTCTACCCCCCTAGCTGGGCCTCTCTGCCCCAAGAGGCCACTTCTCTTCTTGCCTGGGCAGTGACCCGTACAATTGACTCAGTCCTCTGAGCAGAGCTTAGAATATCAGGGAGGGGCCTTGAGAAGCCCAGCTTAGCCCAAGCTCTCTGTGTTAGATCACGGCTAGAGACGTGGCCCGTCCACAGGGTTGAGTATCCAGCTTTGCGTGAGGATCTCGGTACGGGGTCATCAGTGAAGCGTTCTCCCCTCTGCCCTGTCCTTTCCTTTTCTCTCCTAGAAGGCAGAAGTTGGCAGAGGGCAAGTAGGGGAGGAAGCTTGTCAGCCAGGTCAGGGACTCATCCATGTCCTGAAGTAGGGGGTTTAGTTTTCAGGAATCTTTAAGGACACCCCATCAGAAAAATTGGGTTGTGCAATTGCTGAGGTCCCCACGTCGAACAGATTCTAATTCAGGGGAGGCTGTATGCTGGGTGCTTTCATATATGTTATCTTGTTGAATCCTCTGAGCAACCTAGTGGTACAGGTATTATCTCTGTTTTTCTGGTAAGAAAACCAGGGTTTAGAGAGGCTCAGCAACTCACCCAAGATTAACCTAAGTCTAGCAAGTGGTGGAGGATTCCATCTGTACCCTGCTTTCTGTCAGTTTACTCATTAGCCAGCTGCCGTTTGACTTCTCTTGCCTCTCTGTCTCGTTGATTCAGCTGGGATTTCTTTGAGTGTCTAGAATTTTAGGATGCTGTGCTGCTGCTCATTCACCATCTCCCTCCACAGGGGTCCCCCCAGAGCTCCCAGCAGCTGGAGTAACTGATCCCCTCTAGCTGTTGGTAAATATCCCGGGTGGAGAGGGGAAGGGTTTAAAGAGAGGAAATCCAGCCTGGGCTTTTTCCTTGTCCCCCCTTGTCATACAGGAGATGGACTGGGTAATGGTAGACCTCAGCGCTGGTGGAGAGGCAGGCTGTGAGAGTCACGGTTCGGTTTTCATGTGATCTCACAACGCCTTTTCACAAGTACAAGTGCTGCTTATTAAGGCTGAGCACGCTGATCTGACCTAATTTGGGGGATAGTCAGACTTGATGTTGGATGGCAAAGTTGTAATCATACCTTCAAACCCAAGTGGCTTTGGGCTTACTTCAGGTTGAAGCTTTGTAGCTGTGGGAGCTCCTTGCCTTGACACTCGGTTCTGCCCTCGGGTCATTGCATGATCGTAGGGATGGACAGAGGCGACCTCAGGATGATGGTCAAAGGAGAAATGTGATTGTCTTTCATTCCTGGGCTTCTTTCCCATTGTCCTTATTTACCAGTCCTCTCAATGCTGCGGTAGAACAGTTCTCAACAAGATGTTTTTGTGATGACCTCTGGGGTCAGGTGGAAGTTAACCTAATAAACGTACTGTGGCCCTGCCTGCCGTTGTCCCTGTTTTGCCAGCAGCATCATCGCTGGGAATGGGGAAGTGGCTTTTCTGGAACAGTTTTTGGGGTAATCCTCAAGATACAGTGTTAAAGGACTCAGGAAGCAGTTTAGGTGGTGATAATAAAGAGTTAATATGATGTACATTTTGTCCATATTTTATCAAAATTTAGTATCAAATGTGTCTTAGGAACAGGGACCAGTGACCAAGATTTCATTTCCATACAATGGTGAGCTCCGGTAGGCTTGCTCTTTGAAACTAGAGTGGGCCTTGAGTAGGTTTTAATGCAGCTGTCACCACCCTAGTTTGCCTAGAGACTCTGGCGGGTTTTGAAGTTTGTTTTTGACTTTTCTGGGGAAGTTTCAAACATAAAAAAATAGAATAGTATAATCCGCGTGTTAATGTCACCCTGCTTCAGTGCTTATCAGTACACGGCAATCCGGTTTTATCTTCTCCCCAAGTCCCTCTGGATTGTTTTGAAGCAAATCCAAGAGGTATCATTTTATCTGTAAATACTGCATATGTATGTCTATGAAAGAAGGACTTTTTTTTTTTTAACATAGCCACAGTACCATTATTGTACCTAAAAATATTAACGGTAATTGCTTAATAATCAGATATTCAGTGTTAAATGGTTCTTGATTATCTCAAATTCTTTTTATAATGGATTTGTTCAAATCAGTAATCAGAAAAGGTCTACGTATTGCATTTAGTTGTTGTGTCTCTAATTTTTCATAAATTTTTATTTTTGAAATAATGTCAAACTTACAGAAAATTTATACTAATACGTACAATTCTTACATACTCTGAATATTCATCTGGGTTCACCAATTATTAAGATTTGCCACATTTGCTTTCTTGTTATCTCTCTATATACATATTATTTTTAACCTTTTGAGTAAGTTGTAGCCATTTTGCCCCTTTAGACTTAAGAACAATGATCTTCTCTTACACGATCACTGTTCTGCTATCAAGATCGGAACATTTGATAATGTTAAATTGCGTATGTTGCTATCTAATTTATACTACATGTTCAAATTTTAGGGCGCCCTGGTGGCACAGTGGTTAAGAACTCAGGCTGCAACCAAAAGTTTGGCAGTTCGAATCCACCAGCTGCTTCTTGGAAACCCTGTGGGACAGTTCTGCTCTGTCCTATAGGGTCACTATGAATTGGAATCAACTCAATGGCATTGAGTGTTCAAATTTTACCAGTTGTCCCAGTGATGTCCATTATAGCAGTCCAGGATCACTCATTGCATTAAGTTGTCATGTCTCTCTGTTCTTTAATCTGAAACAGATTCTCGGTCTGTCTTTGTCTTTTACAGCCCAGCATTTTTCACCTACTGTTTGACACCTGCTGTGTCAGTCCATCTCACTGAGGGTCTTCCTCTTTTTCTCTGACCCTCTTCCAAGTATCATGTCCTTCTCCAGGGACTGGTCCCTCCTGATAACATGTCCAAAGTATGTGAGATGAAGTCTCGCCATCCTCCCTTCTAAAGTGGGCTCAAACAGCAGCGATTGTGAGGATGGTGCAGGACCGGGCATTGTTTCGTTCTATTGTAGGTAGGGTCACCGTGAGTCAATCCCCTAGTAACAACAACATTTTTCACACGCCTGTTATTTTGTAGAATATCCCTCAATGTGAGTTTGTCTGAAGTTTTTCCATGATTAGATTAAGATGATGCATTTTGGATAAGAAAACCTCAGAAGTGATGGTGTATCCTCGGTGCATCGTGTTGGAGGCACGTGGTGTCATTTTGCCCCATTATCGATCACTTGGTTGAGGTGGTGTCTTCCAGGTTTTTCTACAGCTATTCTTTTCCCTTTGTAATTGATATTTTGAACCAATGTAAATACTCTCTTTCATGTGAAACTGTCACCTACTGGTTTTAGCAGCCATTGATGATATGTGCCTGAATCAGTCAGTTATTACTGCCGTTGCTCCTTCTGCATTTATTAGTTGGCCTTATACTGTAGGGAAGAGCTCTTCCTTCTTTATTATGTATGTGTCTACCAGTGTGGGCTCATAGAGTCTTATTTTATTCAGTGGGCTATAATTGTAAGTCTTTTCTAGTGTACGGGTTCCACCTCCCCTTTTTTTCCTTGCAGTTTATGTGTTAAAGAAATCAGGTCCTCTGTCCTGGTTTCTGCATTCTCGATTTTGCTGATTACGCCCGCATGGCGACTTTACCAATACATTGGTAGTGACATCTAGAGGCATAATCAGGTTTGAATTTTTTTTCAACTCTTTTTGGACCAGGAGTACTTCCTAGGTGGTGGTGTGACCCATTTAATCTTTTCTCACCCCTTCACAGAGATTGGAAAGGTGTATGAGCATTGTGACATCAATGACCACCGGTGTCTCCGAGAGAGAGGCCAATGACGCCCTCAATGCCTACGTGAGTATAACGTTCTCCTCACATCTTGTTCTGCTTCTTTGAGAGCTGTGAGACATGATCAGAAAGACGGAAAGAGCAAGTGACTGGGAGTTAGAGGACTGAAATTAGTGTCCTTGACTCCCCAACTTCTCTCTCTGTTTGTGGGAGTCCATCTGTTAGAGCCTTGGCATCTTTAAATAATAACAGCACTCTGAAAAAATAAGCGGTAGTTCTGTAGCGGTTTTTTCTTTTTTTTGCGAATCATTCTCATGTGTTTGATCTGTTACATTTCCTAATCAGTCTCTGTGGTTGAAAGGACTTTCAATGGTACATGTAAAGGACTTAGAGTAATCCCTGGCACATAGTGAATTTTCAGTAAGTATTACCTACCTCTTGTTAATATATTCTCTTTCTTATATCTTCATTTTACACATTCCAGAGGTTCAGTGATTTGCCCAAGATCATGGCTTGGTTTCTGACAGAGTCAGGACAAGGGCCTTGGTCTCCTGCCTTTGAATCAGATGCGCTTCTTGCCCCATAACTGACTCTTTGCAGCACTGTCTCTGCTGAAGGCAGTTAAGGTCTGGTGAAGTTGGTGGAGTAGGTTTTTGTTTAGCTGTGTTTTTTTATTTTAAACACTCTTTTTACTTTCTGCCCTGGCCTGCATTCCTTCTATGTCTTTCCTGAAACAGATGCCCCATCACTTTTAGGAGAAAGAAAGAAATCCCATTTAAGAGTTGATGGTTCCCCTTTGCAGGTTACTCAGGAGTCCCAAGCTTTCTTGAACTTTATACCTGAGTGACAACTAGTTTTTTCCTTCCTCACACCCCAGGTATGCAAAGGTCCCCCCCAGCATGAGGAAATCTGCCTGGGCCTCTTCACTCTCGTCCTTACTGAACCTGCCCAAGCCCAGAAGGTAAGAGTTCCTGCTCCGGAGCTACCTCCGCTTCTCAGGTACGATCTGGAGTCTGTGGTCGAACTTACCGTCTAACTGGGATCCTTTCAGACTCTCATTTCCCTGAGTCTCCTGACCAGAGCTGGATCACCTTATTCTCCAAACAGAGTTACAACCCCATTTTTCCTCTCAGTGAATTGGTCATTCTCTGAGTAAAGACCTTTCTGTCTGGATTATGAAGCTAAGAGGCATGAAAAGGCAGTGTGAGGGTGAAAAAGCCTTTACAGGGTTTTCCGTCGTAGATGTATGAGGCAAGGCTAAAAGAGTGGGAATTTAATCCAGAGAAGAGACGAGAATGATAACTAAGTCTGTGAGAGTGCTTATCCAGGAGAGAGTGGCCTGTAGTTTGCGGGTCTTATTGGCAGGTGAGTATAGAAAGCAGGCTTAAAATTGCAGCAAGTAGGAATTTGGTCAGACAGCTTAGTGTAGGGTGACTGGTGCAATAGTGGTGTAGTGGCTCAGAGAGCACTGTAGTACACGGAGTCAGGCTGCCTGCACAGTGGCACATGAAAGCCAGCCTGGAGATTCACAGTGTCCTTTATCTGGAGTAGTTTAAGTGGGATCTTTCCCTCAGGTAAGGGACCATTCAGGATCATCTCTTTGGATCTTGTTCTTTCTGTAATAAAGTAGGAAAATTCTGTCTTCTGCCTCTCCAGATTTCCCTTTTCCAGCAATTCTGTGTCCTTTAGTCCTGACAGGATGGTTTAAAACTCTGATACCCGGCCTGAACTGTATGGCAGTTCAGAGGAGAGCTTGGTGTGGGGCGTTCAGCCTTCTCATCGGCTCGTCCCTGAACAGGGGTGTGGAGGGAACCTACCAGGATGAGCACGCGGTCTGTGCCCCCCATTGCCTGAGGCTCTATCAGACAGGATTTCATTTAATCCTCTCAAAACGAACAAACTGAACAAACCGTATGGGGCTGGTGGCATTATTCCCTCCCCCAGACCACTCCCATTTTCCCTGTGAGGTCACTGGAGGACAGAGATGTCAAGTCATTTGCCCAAAGAGAACCAATGGAAAATCATTCCCTAGGACAAGGATAGGATGCCTGTGGTCCCCCGGTGTAGCTGCTTGGGTCAGCCTCTGGGGAAGGATTTCTGGGTGTGGGAATCCTATGTGTTTGTGCTCTTCTGATGCCAGCTGAAGTCGGGTCTCGGGGGGAATGGTGGGCGGTGGGGCAGCAAGCATTCACAAGTCTGGGCTGGAACCTTGTTGAGTTACATTTCCATTTCGTTTCCATACGGAATTTATCATCAGGCTCCATGAAGACTGACGACTGTCTCCGATTTGGTGATGTTTAACAGCGATATGGTCCAGTCCAGCCCCTCTGTTGTAGAGAAATTGTCAGCAAACATGGGGGTGCAGAGGTTGGGGCTGAGGTTTTATTTTCTCTTGTGTGGGTTTTGATAAATGCAATTAAAATCTCATTTCATTACCTCAATGCAGATTAGCTGTGCCTGCTGAGAAGAGTGTGTGTGTGTGTGTGTGTGTCTGTGTGTCTGTGTGTCTGTGTGTGTGTGTGTGTGTGTGTGTCTGTGTGTCTGTGTGTGTGTGTGTCTGTGTCTGTGTCTGTGTGTGTGTGTGTGTGTGTCTGTGTGTGTGTGTGTGTGTCTGTGTGTGTTTTCAGGTGGGACCTCAGTTAGCCAGGGCAAATCAGTAAACCTCAGTGAAGGAGGCAGGGTGTATTTGGTTCTTCTGGCTCGCTCCCTGACCTGGCAGTGAGAGGCCGCAGGGCTTTGCATTGTGTATGCTTATGATGTCAGGAGTTTGGCCGTCCAGGCGTGGCAGAGGACTAGAGCATCTCCCCTTCTTTTTGCCCTGTGACAGCCCCATGAGGGGACCCCGGGCCCTCGGGAGGGGAGATGTTTTGCTTTGGGTCTCAGTGGTTGACGGCCACACCAGGATTCATGCTCACATACTAAAGGTTTCCAAGTAAATCCCTACCTGTGAGCCTTGTAGGCTGAGGCCCGGGTCAGGCCTTTTAGACAGAGGGGGCAGAGATGGAATTAGGAGGACACATTTTAGGGGAGTGAGGAACTGTCGGGTGGTGACTCATTCAGAGACCTTGAGCCAGGTCAGCGTGAGGTACGAGAATTAGTGAGAAATCTTCCTAGAGCTTTGATCCTTCTCCCTTAGGGGTGATTGTCTTGTAAAATCCTGTGTCCTGCAAAGTTGTAGGTGGGAGTTACCTATGATGACAATACTAATGGCATTGCATTAGACCTCAGCTCAGAGCAAGGGGGTTCTTTCCTAAGAGTTTATTTTTTTTTAGTTTGCTTTTTAGATGAAGGTTTACAGAGCAAACTAGTTTCTCATTAAACAATGAATACACTTATTGTTTTGTGACGTTGGTTGCCAACCCCACAACATGTCAACACCCTCCCCTTCTCAACCTTGGGTTCCCCATTCCCAGCTTTCCTGTCCCCTCCTGCCTTCTCGTCCTTGCCCCTGGGCTGGTGTATCCATTTAGTCTCGTTTTGTTTTATGGGCCTGTCTTATCTTTGGCTGAAGGGTAAACCTCAGGAGTGACTTTGTTACTGAGCTAAAAGGGTGTCCGAGGGCCATACTCTCGGGGTTTCTCCAGTCTCTGTCACACCAGTAAGTCTTGTCTTTTTTTTTGTGAGTTAGAATTTTCTCCTACATTTTTCTCCAGCTTTGCCCAGGACCCTGTGTTGTGATCCTTGTCAGAGTAGTTGGTGGTGGTAGCCAGGCACCATCTAGTTGTGCTGGACGCAGTCTGGTGGAGGCCATTGTAGTTGTGGTCCGTTAGTTCTTTGGACTAACCTTTCCCTTATGTCTTTGGTTTTCTTCATTTTCCTCTAAGGGTTTATTTGGAGTTAATTTTATCTCTGGAATAGAAACCTCAGGATGGCTTTGGGATTCAGTTCTCGAATCTCCACAGGCTGAGAGATGGAAGGCGGGGATGGTGGAGCGGGTGGTCGTGCAAACCGAGCCTTGAGCACACTAGAAGCCTGCTCTGGAACGAGCAGGCTGAGCAGCCTCTGTCAGTGCTGGCTGGAAGTGCTCAAGGAGTCAGGGCCAGCTCTCGGGAATTTCTTAGTGGGGGGGATTAGTGGAATTGAACAAGTGAACAAGATAACTTGGTATAGGAGAAATGAGGTCAAGTATGTGTCGACTATGCATGGGGTGAATTTTGTTCCATTTGTACCTTCCAGACTTGCATCTGCCCTCTTGGTAGCTCTTATAAATGTTTATGTTCTTTGAGTTTATTTATGTCTTGATGCCTGAACTGAACAGCTGGGAGCAGGCCTGGCTGGGATGCTAGGGTGACAGGGGAGGCTGAGCTGGAGGCCTCAGCTTCTGTACAGGCTCTAGCCGTCAGGAGATGGAGGTAATAGGAAAGGGTCTAGAGTCATTGCCAAGGTCTCCCTTCACTGAGGCTCAGGGACTCATGCCCTGGCGTTCTGGTCCAGGCCCTTCTTCAGCAGCCAGCTCCAGAAAGAAAGCTGGGGGCTGTGAGGGCCCAGGCTGGAACATCACGGCTCTTGACGGGAGGACAGATGTGCAGGCTTAACCCACCCACCCTCTCTCCTTTCTTTTGAGACTCTGCTGCTTCTCTTTCCCCGCCATCTGCTTCTCTTCCAAGCCGGTCAGCAAACTGGCAGAGAAGTTGGTGAAACAGCTGGCAGCATCAGGACCAGGAGACCCTCGGTGCTCAGCGGCACTGTGTTACCAGTAACTGCAGTTGAGAAAGGTCCAGATGGAGCAGAGAATTAGGCAGACAGTACCCACTCTCTTCAGCTGACCCTGTGTCTCCTGAGAGATTCGTCCTCCTTCCCTGTCTTGGGTCTTTTCTGCATTCGTGGGATTTCTGCTTTCATTTGAACAGACAGGGATCTTCTCTGGTTCCTAGTGTCTCTGTCTGTGGCCTGACACAGATTTGCCTTCCGCCTCTACCTCCCTCATTGGCTCTGCCATTCTGTGGCTTGCCTCCGAGGGGGGCTCCAGGGCCGACCTGCCAGCATTTGCTCACCCGCACGCTGGTGGTAGGTCACTGAGCCCCCTTATCTCCTCCTCATCTCATTGTTTGTATTTTGATATCCCAGCCTTCACCCCAGGTGGAGTCAGAAGATAATCAAATTCTCTTTTGAGTCTGAAACATGTGCGGCACTAAGCAGATCTCAGATCCATTTCGTTAGATCCGTTGATTTAGAGACAGTAGAAGCAGGAGGAAGTGACAGTAGCTCAGCTCTTAGGAGTCCCTAGTTGCACCAGGGCTAAGGAGCAGCTCCTAGGAGTCCCTAGTTGCACCAGGGCTAAGGAGCAGCTCCTAGGAGTCCCTAGTTGCACCAGGGCTAAGGAGCAGCTCCTAGGAGTCCCTAGTTGTACCAGGGCTAAGGAGCAGCTCCTAAGAGTCCCTAGTTGTACCAGGGCTAAGGAGCAGCTCCTAGGAGTCCCGAGTTGCACCAGGGCTAAGGAGCAGCTGATCTCTTCTGAATGCTTAGGAGGGAAGGATTTAGAAAAGTAGCCATAAAATCGCAGACTCTTGTCCCCAGCAGCCTCTTTTCCTTTTAATTATTTCTGTAATGCTGGTATAAGAGGTGATTCAGAACATGGAATCTTAAAAAAGGAGTGTGGACCTAGAATTGGACTGTGGGGATTTGAATGCTGCTCCTTCCTCTCATCTCCTCAGTGACCCGAGGCAAATTGCTTTCCCCCTTCTGTGCTTCTTTCCTCATCGGTAAACATGGGGTTAATAACAAATGGTACCTATTTCAAAGAGTTGTTATTGGACTAAACGCCGTAATGTATAATAGAAAGTTATTTACACAGAGCTGGTGCACGTTAGCTATTATTATTGTTAGTATTGTTGATGCCACCCTTGTTACTGGCCTTTAGGGGTTACGGGAGGCTTCCTACTGAATTTGTACCCTTTCTGAAGAGACCCTGACAGGGTAGAACTCAGCAGGCTAAGGAGGCAGCTAATGAGGTCCCCTAGGGTGTTCCTCCAGGAGCCAGGCCTCACTAGAGGGACAGGGTGTGAAAAGCCCCCAGAGGAAGGGAAGCACTGACACACCCCCTGCCTTCCCTGGAAGAAATCAGCATGCCCTCCCTTACCACCCCCAGGCTGGGTATGCTGAAGGCCGCCTCCTTTTTCACTACTTGGCAGAAGCCAAGCCCAGGGAAAAGAAGAAAGGCATTTAAGCTCGGTTTTAGTTCTGCCCCTTCTGTGTGGGCCCCTGGCCCCTTGCCGCAGCAGCCCTAGCCCTCGCTGCGTCTGGCCGGGTCAGTACAGGCCTAGAAACCTCTTTGTCATCCTTTCCAGCCTGTTCGGCTGAACCCTTTCTGCAGTGACCTTTTACTGGCAGATGCAAAGCAGATGGCCTCCACCTGGTTTTGCTCAGCTTGTGGCATCAAACAGTGTGCCACTTCCTAAGAAGGGAGATGGGGAACAGGGACAGGACTCAGAGCCTTGCTCAGCAGGCTTTCCTGCCCTGTTAGGGGTAACTCTGTCCCTTTCCTCTATTCTGTACGGCAGAGCAAGGGAGAGGTTTGGGGTGGGAGAGCTCTGTGGAAGGCAAGTGTTCAGAATAGAAAGTCACTCAGTATTGCCACTCGCTATCCCATTGGCGTGGTTTGACTTTAAGCGGCTGGGGGGTAGAGACCACCGCGGGTGGGCGTGGGAGCCTCGTCCTCACCAACCTTACTTTGCACAGTGTTACCGGGACTTGGCTCTGGTGAGTCGTGATGGCATGAATATTGTCCTGAATAAAATCAACCAGATCCTCATGGAGAAGTACCTGAAGTTGCAGGATACCTGTCGTACTCAGGTGAGGGCAGAAAGGAAAGAAAATCCAGTTCAAAGACATACAGAGGGTGGGTCCTTTCTCTGAGGGGGAAGGGAAGGAGGAGTCGGGTAGCGCACCCCTGCCGTTGTGCACCTCACTTACGGTGTGACTGGGGGCGAGCCCCGCTCTCAGGTCTGCGGGCCCCGCTCTCAGGTCTGCGGGCCCCGCTCTCCAGCTGTCTCTCCCTCTCTCCTTCAGTTGGTATGGTTGGTGCGGGAACTGGTGAAGAGTGGGGTTCTGGGAGCCGATGGAGTTTGCATGACCTTCATGAAGCAGATTGCAGGTGAGTTGATGGCAGGAGTGAGTATATGGGAGGAAGGCGAGCAGCCCAGACACTAAATCCAGGCAGCGGAGCGGGAGGCAGCGCCTGAGGGGCTCTTCTCCTGGCTGCTTACACCCTCTTCTTTTGACACAGACATCTTCCAGCCACACAGATTGCAGAAAGAAATCGATTGAGATCGCAGGGGGCCTTTTGAAGCTAGAAGTCTTGCCTCATTTTCCTTCCTGCCAAACTCAGGGCCTGACGTAGAATATTTGGTCTCCGTTAGCCAGTCCTCGCTGTGGGGTTTTGTGGCATATCGGGTTAGGAGGGGGGAGAAAAGTGAAGGCGCATCATTGGTTCCCGTGTTCATTGTGCTTTGAGAAACACAGATGTCTTCTCTGGCTCCAGTCCCCGTTCTAAACACTTGCTCTCTAATTATTATGACATGCAGTTGGGGCCAGTCTGAGGGACAAGCTGTGTCACAGAACAGGCCGTGACATTTAGCTTTTGTTATCATCTTGGCATCGATATGACGTGTGTGTGAGCCACTGAAGGTCCATCCGGGAGGCCTGCCCATAGCACCCGCTCTGCCCCCAGGATGAACGCGTTCATTTAAAAACGAGCCTGCCTCTCTAGCTCCCACGTGCCCGCTAGCGCTTCCTCCCGTGTAGGATTTATGTAACACCGACGCTCCTATTTGTGTGTATACACACCTTAATCTGTGTGATGTGTGAGTGTGAACACTGGGTTTTTTAACTGGGACCTGGGACAAGGCATAGCCTTGTTGTGCTGGCTAGTCCTGTCCTCTCTCCTGGCACTTGGTTCCCTGCTCAGCTCTCCCAGTCCCCACTTCTTGTCCCCAGAAAGCACAGTAGGAAGCCCGGAAGATGATGGCAGCTAACCAGGAACCTTTGGCCTGTCGTGAGCCTGGGCACAGGCCTCTGGACACTGCTGCCAGCCGCCTGCGCCTCTCAGGCCCTCCCTGAGCTACCGCCCTTGCTCTCCACCTGGGGCTTCTCATGTCTCCTCAGACGTTCCCTTTCAAGGGCCAGACTGTTCCCACTTCAACCCCCCCAGTCTGTGGGAAGGTAGCAGCTCTGGTCTTTGGAGAAGTCCATAACCTTCCCACCCCCTTCTCTCTGGGGGCAGAGGGGAAACTTGAAGGGCTGACAGGAGAAGACAGTTCATCCCAGCACTCAGGACAGCAACGATGGGCTCACCATTAGGAATGGGTCAGCGGGATGACCGAGGAAATGGGCGGTGTTCACTGGGGCGCTGATGAGCCATTCTGATTGTCTTATTCTTTTCCCCCTCTGAAATCAGGTGGGGATGTTACGGCAAAGAACATCTGGTTGGCAGAGAGTGTTCTGGATATCCTGACGGAGCAGAGGTACAGCCTACCATGAAGGGTGGGGCAAGAGCCAGAAACGCCAGGAGGGGGGTGAGTGTGGAAAATGGGGCTGAAAGGATTGTACGAAGATTGGTAGGTGGGCTGGGAATGCCACAGGGGAGGGGACGGCAGGGGAGGGGAGTATATTGGCAGATGAAAGAATTCATGGTATGGTGTGGCCCTAGAAATGAAGGAGTGGGAAAGAAGGTCTTTGCTGAAATATCTCAGAGCCCAGGAAAAACTGGTTTCATCTGATAAGAGTTTATTTTTGATCCAGACCTCCTTGGAATGTTTATCTTTGGGAGGAGGGGGAGAATGAGCTCAGCAGAGTGGGGCCAGCCAGCCACCCAGGCCTGGCAGGTACCCCTTTCTCCTTTCTCAGCCTCTCGATCCAACCCATGCTCTCTTTGAAGTGGCCGCAGGGAGATGGGAGTGGGCTGCAGTGAGGAGGTGATGGAGACCAGTTAACTCTGCTAGAGTTTGCATCTAGGGAGCCCTGGTGGTGCAGTGCTTAAGTGCTCGGCTGCTAACTGAAAGGTTGGCGGTTCGAACCCGCTAGCTGCTCCACGGGGGAAAGATGTGGCCTTCTGCCTCCATAAAGAATACAGCCTTGGAAACGCTATGGGGCAGTTCTACTCTGTCCTGCAGGATCACTGTGAGTCGGAGTCGACTCCACGGCAGTGGGTTTGGTTTGGTTTAGAGTTTGCATTCAGGTCTTGGAAACTCCAGTGGTAGAAGTGTTTAATGGGGCATATTGGGCTTTCTGGATGAGTCTTTTCCCTTCCCCATCAAAGTAAAGGACGAGAAATTTTATGAGGGCTGCCCATATCCGAACTTGCTTAGGGGTGAAGCCTTCCCATTAGTCCTGTGGTCTAGTCTTCCTATTGCTTGGTTTCGGAGTCTGTTTTTGGATGAGGACACCACAGTAGTCAAATGACTGAGTGGGCTACTTTTAAAAAAAAACAAACTCAGTGCCGTCAAGTCGATTCCGACTCATAGCGACCCTATAAGGAAGAGTAGAGCTGCCCCACAGAGTTTCTGAGAAGAGGCTGGTACATTCACACTGGCGACCTTTTGGTTAGCAGCCAGACGCCTAACTGCTGTGCCACCAGAGCTCCCGAGTGGGCTAACAGCAGCCGAATTCCCCGCGGGTTAGAAGAACGGACCTCCTCCGTCAGGCGCTTGAGAGAGATGGATGGCTGGGGTGGTGCTCTGCCCAAGCCTGAGCTCTGTGCTGGGCTGCTGTGCAGCGCCACCTAGTGCCCTGGGCATGGATGCGCAGCTGCGTCGGGGGCTGGAGGCACCGCTTCCCCAGGGTACTCAGAGCCCTGCAAGGTCCTGGCCCCTTCTCAGCAGGCCTTGGCTTCTCTCAGGCCTCTGTGCCTTTCTGCTGTCTTGAGAGGATCTCACCTTCCCCTTGCTCCTTCTCTTCATTCCATCTCCCAGGATTCAGATGTGTTCATTACCTCTGCTAGCAGCCTTCCTGAAAAGTGGTTTTTCTCATTCTGTTCTGGTGTCACATGCTTCCTGTGCCCATACCTCGGAGCTGAGCTCCCTTCATCTGACCAGTTGGAGCACAGTCTTCGTGTGCACGGGTCAGAGAACAGGAGGGGAGGGCCGCCCCGCCGTCCTTGGCTTCTGCTTTGGTTCTGTGGGAGGAAAAGGCCAAAGCCTCCTAATTAAGTGGCTTGAGCACATTTCCGGAATCAGGACGTTGCCCGGCTGGGTTAATTACGTGCCTTGTCTTCTTCCTCCAGCTCACTGCCTTTCTCCAGGGGTGCCAAAACCTTTGTCAACTGCCTGCTCTGGGGACAGCTTCTCAGTTTTGGCACCCAGAGACGGCAGGAGGGGACAGGACTCTCCCCACTCTGCCTATCTTTCTGCCCCTTTTAAAGCAGCAGGGAAGAAACAGTTCTTTCCTTATCCCATCTCCCCAGGGAAGCTCTGAAACTCCTGAGAAAATGGCCTTTCCCATCCAAAATCACACTTTTTTTTTTTCCAGTTTATAATTTAGGGCAGGTGCCTCATTGTCTGGGCTGGGGTCAGCTGCCAGAGAGAGGGCCAGGGAAAGGTTTCTGGCATGGTGGGCTGCTAATGACAAACGTGATAGAAGGGCTGGCTCAGTGTGTCCTGAGAACTCCAGGGGCCTGAAGGGGTCTTGAGAATCCCCAGGGGTCTCGGAGCACGCTTTGAGAGTCCCCAGGGGTCTCGGAGCACGCTTTGAGAGTCCCCAGGGGTCTCGGAGCACGCTTTGAGAGTCCCCAGGGGTCTCGGACCACGCTTTGAGAGTCCCCAGGGGTCTCGGACCACGCTTTGAGAGTCCCCAGGGGTCTCGGACCACGCTTTGAGAGTCCCCAGGGGTCT